GAATACAGAAATGAAGAAACCCCATCCAGACCCTTTTATAAAGTGCACAGTTTTCTTTGCTTTCTTAATCTTCCTGTTTGAACTTGTCTTGTCCTGGTTTTCATACTACAAGGGAAACTGCATGTGAAATTTATATGAAGAGATCATGTACATACACTTTGTAGAAATATATTTTTTTTATTGGTCAATGATTGAATTTATGTCGGTTCAAGGCTCCATTAGTCCGACACCCCAAAAGTCCGACGACCCAATGAACCGACACCCTAATAATCCGACACATAATTATTGAACAAAATTTCGTATAAATAATCTTTATTTCATGAGGATAATCCCATTATATAAAAATAATCCTACTGAGTCAGAGAGAGTCCTCAAAAATACTAACATATTCATGAAGTACTTACAATACATGTATTCAAAATGTGCTTAATGTCCAGTGGCAAATATTACATGCATGTTCAAAACAATTTAATTATATAATAGTTATTGAAAAACTGGTCATTATCGTGATATATGGACTGTCCTATCTATGATTATAGAATTGACTGCCATAATTTGACAGACTCTAATTTCATTGTCATGGATCATTGAACATGTCAATTTTCTGTGGTACTTTTATGCATAAACTTTCAAAAGAAATAGTGCATGGTCAGTAAAGCAGGCACAACATTTCAGCGTGGTCACTTTTGTTATATATATGTGTTATAATATTTCAATTGACCACTATTTCCCAAAGATTCCTGAATTAGGACAGGCACTTTTATTCCTGTTCGTGTATGTGGCGACTTAACCCATGCACCTGCTGAAGGGTATGGTACATGTATTTAATGATGGGAGAGTCTGTCCTTTTGTACTTATGTCCCATGTGTCATCAATTGCTCATGAACCACTTGACAGAACTTTGTAACACTTCGATACAATCTTTCTTTCATGATGTACTTTTTCAAATGACAATTTATAAAGTAAATAGGTTCATAAATAATACCATAAAAAGCATGTTGGGAATAACAACTTTTTACAAATTGATGCAAAATATTTGATGCAGTATCTATTGTTATAGGTTTCCAAAATTGGATCCCACCAGAACAAAAAGATTAAGTCTATGAGGAAAATAAAGGCATAGATCAACAACAAAAACTGTAATGCACAGATAATATATGAGATCGAGATAGAACTGGTGAGAAATTAGGATTTTTTTAGGTAAGTATTTTCAGTTTGTCCGTATTATTTTATTTCAATAACATGAAATGTTGTAGTGCGCTCATGAGACAACAAACCAACAACGATTAATTCAAAAGAATAGAGAGCGGCATTCAACAATTGAAAGATGTCAATATGGTTAACAAAGAATCCTATGGGAAGTACATATCCGTACACAAAACCTCTCAGTTAACTGTTTGACAGATTGCATTGATATTGTGCTCGAATAATCAGATTATGTTTTGTTTTGGTGCCGATCCAAAAATGAGTGTCACATCAGGACATAGTTTAACATATGAACCTAAAGGGATCTCCTTCTCTGAAACTGGATTACAGATTGAAATGATAATTTAATCAGAATTGCCACTGTTACAAATAATGAAAAATTCAACAACAAGAATACTTTTTTAAAAATTTTAAACAGCTGTATAAAAAAAAGAAATGTTGTATGATTGCCAATGAGACAACTACCCACCAAATTTCAGATGAAGTTGGTATTAACAATCATAGGCAACTGTGCAGCCTTCAACAATGAGAAAACCCATACCGTATAGTCGGCTACAAAAGACGAAGACATGAAAAATATGAAACAATTCAATTTAGAAAAGTTAACGGCCTAATTTATAACAAAACTTAAGAAATTTAAGAATGTCAGAGTGCAGCCTATATTGAAAACATGGAAATTTGCCAACCCAGACTTGTGGCGCTAAAATTTTTCTCCCAATCGTATTAAATCAGTTTTCAAGTAGGTAACCCATACATTATTCCATTCTTTTTTCATTTTTCTCCATGATAATATGAACCTTTATTTACGTAATACCACCTTTAGCAATGCATGTACACTATACATATTATGTTATGGTTGACCTATAGTTGACCTTATTATTCGACTTTAACAAACATGATAACATTGAAATCTGACAGTGTTATAATCAATCTTTTATTTTTCAGAAACAAGTTGGCGAAGATATGTGATATCACATGCATTGGAAGAGCAGTGCAAAATAACATTGAAGCAGAATTATGAAACAGTGATTAAAAACATCAAATTGAGAGAGAAATTTTACATGTTGTAACTATATCATGCTGTTCATTCTTAAGATTACTGTTTATTGTTCTTGCAATGGAAGTAAATGCAGTAGATAAAAAAAGAAAGTTAAACATTTGAGATCTTCATCTTGTTTCATTCATTTAACAAAAAAATCAATGTTGATGAGAAAAGCATGTATTTTAATGGTCATCAAATGTACATTAGTTACACATCGCCATTAATCCTGATAGGGAGTGTCACCACACGGATTCCACTGTCAGGAATAATGTAAAATTAATAATCATGTTTTTTAGTACTAGTATTGAAATATTTTCAAAAAGTAACTCAAATCCATGTAACTTGTAATAATTTATGTAATTTGTAATGTGAGGTATATTTGATTAAGTCATTTTTCATGAAAGGAGGAGGTCTTTGTGTGGGAATTTATGCAAAAAAATCAAAAAGGTTAATTTATGTACCAAATGACATCCTTCCGACATTTTAAAATCATTCTGTTGGAAATCGGTCTTTAGATTTTGATACTTTTTAAACCTCTGTATGTCTGTCTGTAATATGCAAATCCATCACAGTTTTCTGAGGAATTACAAATCAAGAGTTTCCTGAAAGTCATCAGTCCTCATGTGAACATGCTTTACTGAGTAATGCATTTAAAATTCACCCATTCAACTTCCCGTTAATAGGATACCTATTAATTCTTACACAAAATTTCATTTATTTTTTAGTTAAATATGCTTTGAAGCTAAGGTTAATAGGACAGATTACAAGAGTTTTTCATATCTAAGTTACCCTCAATGCAGCAATGCAGATACTAATCACAATACACAAATTACAAGTGAATGAAATTGCAGCATGATTAATGTATACAAAAAAAAAGGAAATCTACCAATGACTGTCAATAAATTTATTTAAAAGCTTAGGGAGCTACCATTTGATTTTTATGGGGGGGGGGGGGGGGGGGGGGGGGGGGGGGGGGGGGGGCTAGGGTGACATTTGAAAAAAAAATAGGCAGGACAGGAGTTTTGAGTAAAAAAAAAGGCAGGATGAGACACTTGCAGAAAAAAAAAGTCAGGATAAACTTTAAAAAAAAGGCAGGACCGAACACAGTGAAAAATTAAAAGGCAGGACAGAGATTACAACTAAAAAAAAAATGCAGGACAAAATTTTTCATCCTAGCCCACCCCACCCCCACCCCCATAAAAATCAAATGGTAGCTCCCTTACAATGGGCAAATAAACGGTAATGTATTTATGAGAATTAGGACTCGAAAAGTGGTTGTATTATAATTATTCCCTCAGCACACAGCGTAAACTTTTTTAAGGAGAAAAACATAGACTGTTTAGTCTGAAGGTACCTGTCCAGTTAGGATGACATGTCTTCTAGCAGATTCTCTCCTTGTGGTGAACTAGCATGTCAAAAATTCAGCTCAGTGTAATATTGGTTTAGTTCAAAATATTGTCATTATTTATATCTGAGTATCAAGTCCTCGTTCTGATTATGCACTTTACTTGCCACTGGATGACAAAACATCCACCCATCCATCTTCTCAAAATTAATATACCCAGTTCCAATGTTCAAGTCTTGTTAAATATGTTTTGATTTGACCCAAGCAAGACACAGATACATATAATATGATATTGTCAAATATAAAACCTATATTAATAAGAACTTACTAAAAACATAAACCATATCAATTGACCGCACCGGCATGAGATGCAAATTTGACAATGCCAAAATATTGGAAAAAAAACAACTAAAATAACTGTTGAAGAGCTGGACCTAAAGTAAAACAAAATCAGAACAAAAAATCAGAGAAATAAAAAAACATAACGAAATCATCAACATGTCACAGTATAGAAAAGGATGGAAACGGGGTAAGTGTCAAAGAGAACAATTAACCCAACCTAAATGTACAAAACAACCTAAGACCACCGATACCTTAATTTTTCCATTAATACATAATTACCTAGTTGATTAGTTTTCAGTTCTTTTTATTTTCAAATTGGCATCACTGTATGCATTCAAATGTAAACATTGTAACCAATTGTAAGATAAATAAACTAAAGTGCACAGCTACGTTTTTAAAGAAATGACATCTTTTTTAAAATGAATACATTAATCCATGCACTGAAAAAAAGTAAGAATATACTTAAAACAGTAATGAAATATTCCATACAGATACAGTACTGACTTAATCAGTATCATAATGAAACAGTACTGAAGAAATCAGTACTGAAACAGTACTGACGAAATCAGTACTGAAACAGTACTGACAAAATCAGTACTGAAACAGTACTGACGAAATTAGTACTGAAACAGTACTGACGAAATCAGTACTGAAACAGTACTGACGAAATCAGTATTGAAACAGTACTGAAAAAATCAGTACTGAATTTATAGAATTAGTAATTGTACAGTTTTTGTATAATAATAAACAGTACTGAATTAATAGAAAGTATAACATTACAAGTTTTTAGTCTTGCCGAACAGTACTGATATGTACGAGGGTAGAAATGTACCAAAAAAACGTTGGTAAATTCTTGGTAGTGTAAATACAATGTGCATAGTACAAAAGCAGAAAATATCAAATTTCTAGTCTTTGAATTGAACGAGCATGGATCGAACCCACGACCTCTTACATGATATTTGAAGTTTAATCAGTGTTTACTATATGAGACAAAAAATTGTTATCGCTGCTGTAAAAATATACTATATTGCAGAAGAAGATTGCTTAAAATAATTTGGTAATTCATTAAATGAAACAGTTTAATTTTATTATTACAAAAATTACTCACACACACACACACACACACACACACACACACACACCTTTGATGAGTTAGCTACTAGCATATTACGATCTCAATCGGTGAATTTCACTATGTGCAATCTGGTTTTTCCAGAATATGAACACCCTATCATTAACTGTCCCTTTTTGTCAAAACATATACTAACTGGATCAGTGATCTCACTGTCTGAAATACAATTGCAAATGAATTGCCCTTCCTTAGATAGGACATGAATTGCATTTTTGTCTTTCTCTGCCACTAGAACCAGACCTGACAATGATGTGATAATGTCATTAGGAAAAAAATCAGATTCTGAATTGATACTTGGATGACCGGTGTATGTCCATTTTGGTTTCCCCCATTTTCCAATTACTACCACTCTTGCTTTTTCTGAATTTATGCGGTCTATCACACAAATATACCCATTGATATTTGTAGCTATTTTTTCTGGACAATCGAATAATACTTTGTCACTTTTAGTATCGCATTCAACTCGTCTCATTTTCTCGCGTATGCCGTATCTACAACCGATATTAGATAGTTCAAGAATTCCAGCAGATCCCCAATAATTAGTAAAACCTACGATGACTTCATTATATTTAGAAGAATGAATACCAGTACATCTCAGTTTATCGCGTATGAATGGTAGTGATAATTTTTCAAATGTGCCAGTATTGTTTAGGAGTCTCATGTCTGACAATAATATTTCTCCATTATAGTTTGTTATATCTGAAACCTTTTCGAAATTATGTGTACCTTTTCTATCTGCATCTACTATGTCTTTTGTGGTTACGAATTTGGAACCTGATATTGTGAAATACTTAAACTGGCTACATTTATTACTATACATAACACAAATATCATCCGTAAGAGACACTAGTCCACTTATCTCGCAGAAAAGCACGTCAAATGTGTGAATTAAAGATATTTCAGGTATCCTTATTACTGATCCCAAGACTTCTTTCATATTTTTCTCTTTTGGTTCAAGGTAAACGAGCTCTGGAGGCTGTATTTTCGAATATAATATTTTTGGTATGTCTCTTCTTATTTGTTCTACAGTAGAGAAAACTGAAGCTGGATCTTTTTTTTCTAATACTTCGTGAAGTGTATTCTTTCTCGTCTTTAATTCTTGCTCTATCTGTGAAAGTCTTTCGCGTTCTGTTAGTAATGGATTTTTTTCCGTATCCCATATACCTTCCATAACGCCTATGAGGTTTAATGATTCCTTTGTTACTGCATCTTTTATTACACTTTTCCTATTACAAATTTTCTCTTTTATATCGTTGTGTTTTGTAACCTCACCATCATCCATTTTTCGGAATTTGGCTGCTTTCTTTTCAAAAAATGGATAACATTCGTCAATTTTACGTTTTAAATCTTCGAGTAAAATGCACTTTTCTTCGTATACTTTTTTTAATTCTTCATACTGAAATGGCCGGATTAAACAAGACGAGCATAAAGGTTTATCGCAATTTATGCAGTATCTTTCAAATTTCTGATCCATATGTTTCATACATGCAATCTCCGTCAAGTCCAATTTTCCTTGTTTCTCCAATTCTTCAACATTTTCTACGTTTTGTAAAAGTACAACATTGTGTTTAGATAATTTTTCACTTTTTGTATGAATTTTTGTATTGCATATATCACAAAGATTTAAATCACATGACTGGCATTTCCAATTTATATCAGTCAACTCTTCGCGAAATTGACAGTTAGTTTGTTTGCTAGTCATTTCGAAATGTTCATTCCATTTTCTTCAAGTTTGTTATCGAGCTGCATTAACGTTTCAATAAACTGAAAATACTTAATTTATGCAAGCTCAGTCTAGTTGTTAACTAGTTTGTAATTTATCCAATTTAAATAATACAAAACTTTCATGCGAAACTAAATGTACTTGTCTTTCTTCACTGACTCAATAGAAGTTCGTGTTAGCATGTCAGTAATTAGCGCTGATAACGGAGAAATGAGATATTGCCAGCCCATTGTAATAAAAGAAAAGATAATAAATATGTCTAGTCATCATGCAAGTTATTCACTGCGTTTAAAATATCACTGACATATCATTTTCTGATAGTAGACCTGTGTGGTTGTACCTCATTCCAAAGTTTAAAAATCGAGGAGTATCTATTGTATTGTCATTTAAGACAGTTTCTCTAATTTTGTGCCAATCAAAAACCTTCCGAACTCATTGTATAAAATAATTTAATCAACGTGTGGTTGCTGGTGATCTTAGAAGATGATTGGATGAGTTTAGGGATCATAAACTTTATCAGCTCACTGGATGCATCATAATATGCTCACAGGTGTTAATGAAACTTTGTGGAATGTGGAATGCACTCGAAGGGGATTTTCGTTTAACAAAAAATGAAAATTTATTTTTTAATTATTAGAGAAACAGATTCTTTCAAAGTTACTCGTGGATTATCGAATTTATCCAATCTTGATGGTAAAATCTTAAATTTTAAAGTCCTTGCTAAGGCTCGGACTTTAAAACTGCTAATTTAACTATCACAATAGGATAAATGCGATAATCCACAGGTATCAATGTAAGAATATATATATATAACCAATCATATTTGGCTTCGGGTGTATATGATCCGTTCATCCTAATTCGACTCTTTCAAAATTCGAGAGTCTATCCTAAATTGAGGTTAATTATATGGCCTTCTAAAAACCGTTTCGATTCCTAACATCACTGAAGAGACATTAATTGTCAAAATCCGGATATGGTGTACAAATTTTTGCACCTCATGTTTGTTGTATACCATGTTTTCCGCAAGTTTCTTGTTTTCTGTTTGGTAATAAATTAATAATAAGATCCATTCTATTATATCTGGTGATCCGTTTATTTGGCAATCGTCAATGGCAGTCAGCAGAGTAGTTAAGAACAACAGTTGCTCGACCTGCTAGTCAAATGCATTTTGTTAAAAAATACTTTTTAACTTTTTTTGGTCTTTTGGAAAATGTTGTTTGTGCTGAATTTAGACCCCTCTTTCAAGAAATATGTTTTGCATGTACTCGTATAAAAATTGCGGTTTTTATCCAACGCAATAATAGGTTTGAACGTTGTTTTCAATTTAGACTTGTTTATATTTTTTCGTTTGGGCTTGTATTATATTTGCCCTCGGGTTTATATGATCCGTTGATCTAATTTCGACTCTTTCAAAATTCTATCCTAAATTGCGGTAAATTATATGGCCTTCCAAATACCGTTTTGATTCCTAACATCATTAAAGAGACATAAATTGTCGAAATCCGGATATAGTGTACAAATGTTTGCACCTCATGATTACGGTATACCATCTTTTCCGCAATTTTATTGTTTTCGGTTTGGTAATAAATTAATAATAAGATTCATTTTCATTTCGTCAATGGCAGTCAGCAGGGTTTAAGAATATTAGTTGTTCGACCTGCTAGTCAAAAGCGTTTTGTTAAAATATACTTTTTTACTTTTTTGGTCTTTTGGAAAATGTTGTTTGTGCTGTATTTAAACCCCTCTACCAAGAAATTTGTTTTGCATGCACATGTATAAAAATTGCGGTTTTTATCCAACACAATCATAGGTTTGAACGTTGTTTTAAATTTAGACTTGTTCATATAAACTAACTTATATATATTTATACCACATTTATCTTATATTGTGCTTTTTGTTTTATCTATATGTATATCAAAAATACAATTACGGATATTGTTTTGATTGAAATTTGCCGTTAAAATATTAAGGAATACCTTCCATAACGCCTATGAGGTTTAATGATTTCTTTGTTACGGCATCTTTCATTTCACTTTTCCTATTGCAAATTTTCTCTTTTATATCATTGTGTTTTGTACATATAAGTCATTCATAAAAGAATAGAAAAAGAGGTTAATACTCTTATTTCCTTGCTTTGGAACAACATAGATAAATCTACCATACCTTGAAAAACAAGGAGATGCGGTATAATTGCCAAGAAGACAAATTTTCACCAGAGTTCAAATTCGTAGATATAAGCAATTATATGTCATCATACGGGCCTTCGACAATGAGGAAAACTCATACAGTATAGGCAGCTATTACATGTATAAAAGGCGCCGAAATGGCTGTACATAAAAAACAAAAACAAAAAATCTCTTTTTTATTGAACATGTATAACTAATCTTTTTTTTTTTATCTATTCTCTATTTGTAAAATTCGTCATCGAAGGACAAGAAGTACTTTTAGGATGACGATTTAAGCAATGTTAACTTATTTGAAAATCTTGTCTTGCTGGTAATTCTGCATGTAAAAAGATTATCTTTCGATTATGATTTTAAAGATAAATGAAAAAAAGTAAGAAATAAAAATGAAAATAAAAAGTTGGATGATAGTAACTGGACAGTAGGTAGATCTCAACATTTTCATCTTTGTTGCAACCTGTCTGTTTTTCTCGACCTGTGCCAAGTTTAAAGTTAATATTCTAAACGTGTATTTTACCTCTTTGTTCTATTTTCAGCCATGTTGTTTGGTGGTTGAGGTGGTCACAACGTTAAAGCGCGAAGTGTATAAGGACCAACTTTTTGCGGTAAAATGACACTCCATATGGCAGATTACTTCCATGATACCAGAAAAGCCATCAACGAATTTACTCTTCAATCAGATCACGTATTTCTGTTGCAATATTAAACGTATCTGAGAATAAGTTTTCGGTTTAAGCACATTTGATTTGTCACTATTCTCAATCTGGTTACACAAAATGAAAACTTATATAAAAAAATTGTATTTTTCTAAAAAAAAAAGTAACTTTTCATTTTTTTAAACGTTTTACATGATTTGAAAATCAAAAGAGAGACGATGATACCAAATGTGCCTTTTCAAACTCAATAGTCGTAAAGAACTGAAAATACCATGGAAATAAACGAAAAACGTTCATAAGACATTCAACAGTATTAAAACACAAAATATATAGAAATTTAAAAAATTTAAAGACTCATACACCAAATTTGAAGGGAATAAAATTAATAGTTATCAAAGGTGACAGGCTTATAATTTAATACGCCAGACGCGCGTTTCGTCTACATAAGACTCATCAGTGACGCTCAGATCAAAATAGTTACAAAACCTTACAAGTATAAAGTTGAAGAGCATTGAGGACCCAAAATTCCAAAAAAATTTGCCAAATACTGCTAAGGAAATCTATGCCTAGGATAAGAGAATCCTTTGTATTTCGAATAGTTCATACTTTTGTAAACAGTTAATTTATAAAAATGACCATATAATTGATATCCATGCCAACACAGAAGTGCTGACTACTTGGCTGGTGATAACCTCGGGACAAAACGTCCACCAGCAGTGGCATCGACATAGTGGTGTAAATAGTTATCAAAGATACAGGCTTATAATTTGATACGCCAGACGCGCGTTCCGTCTACATAAGACTCATCAGTGACGCTCAGATCAAACAAGTATAAAGTTAAAGAGCATTAAGGACCAAACATTCCAAAAAGTTGTGCCAAATACGGCTTAGGTTATCTATGCCTGGGATAAGAAAAATCCTTAATTTTTAATACGAACCCCACCGTTGGTTATCTTTGGTGTTCCTGAACAGTTAATATTAAGTTATTAAGTAGGTCACTCTCGAGGAAAATACCAATTGGACGTGATTGTAGTTACGACAATTAGATGTCACTACGGACGTCATCACCAGTTGGTTAACTGTTAAGGATGTACACCTATGAGAAGCCAAACATTTCTAGAATTAAACTTTTTTTCTTAACCGGACTTTTGGGTTTACATAAATGTAAAAAAAAATAATTGGTGAAGAAAAAATCATATGGTGGTACACTTCTTTTTTTTTTGCTACGGCCCTTTGAAAGTACCCAATTTTGATGATTTAATTTTTCCCATTTTGCATCCATTTTTGGCTATTATCGTGAAAAAATCACAGTTCCACAATTAAACTTTTTACATACTTGCAATAAAGATGAAATGGACCAATCTGAATAAATTTAATTGAAAAAACTATAGGTAGGTGTTAATATAAGAAAGTTTAATCATATCTAGATGCTTTTTTCGTGTCATATTGACCATGCTGTCAATTTTGTAAATTTGTGATTTTTCTCTGTTTTAGAAACAAAAGGCATATTATTTCAACTTCTTTGTTATAAATGATTGAAAAAAATACATATCTAAGAAATTTGAAAAGAAATAAATGTACATGCTTTTGGAAAAAATCATGTCTTGTACCCCTCATCCATTTTCTCAAAGTTTTGGCTAAAAAGACAGACTTGATTGGTAATAGAATTTGAAATATTTATTACTCAAAATCTACTTATTGTAAATACACAATTTTTTCACAGAGTCAAGTTTGATTATAATATTTCTTAAATTCATTGCTATTTCCCACTTGTATCACATGTTTTAGAAATAATTCCAGAACGAGATTTCAACGAGACTAAAACGTTAGAAAAAGACATCCTTTACGAATATCTGTTTCACAAATGACGACGGATACGTTCCATGCAGTTGTCGCATCCACAATACCGTCTTTTTTTCCTGAATGTGACCTCCAGATTTAGACTAAAACGGGGTTTATACTTACACGAGGAACACGACGGGTGCCATTTATGGAGCAGGATCTGTTTAATCTGAGATCAACCCCAGTTTTTTGTCGTTTCGTATAGCGCATTCTTTAGTTTTCTATGTTGTATTTTGCATACTGTTGTTTGTCTTTTGCGTCCTTTTCGTTTTTGCTGTATTTTAATCTTTGTATGAATTTTGAATGTGTGTATTGCATACATTCAAAAACCTTTGGAT